TATTTTACTTTGCATATCGGATTCTTGTGAAGCCTCTTAGAGGTAAAAAAACCGGAATTTTAAAAGAAAAACAAAAACAAGGCAAACTGAATAAACTGCTTTTAAGTTAAAGAAATTAAGTTTTTGCCACAAACTCAATTTCATTAATCTCCATATCTTAAAGCTTTGATAGTTCAAACTTAGACTATTTGATCTATCAGTGTTTGAAATATCTAAGGTCTACGACACGGGGTTGCAAGGATACAGGGATTAGAGTTTGCGGTAAAGATGATATTCTTTCACTTTTATATAAATCATGTTTTTTAGTATGGACTATCTCAACCCTAATCCTTCAAACAATGGTATTATCATTATTAATTACCTAGGTCCAAGAAAGAAAAGCAGTTCTGATGTTTACAAGGGAATGACCGTCACAAGGAAAAATAATCAAATTTTTCTTTTTATCATTTTTATTTTTGTTTTAGCCCAGGGTGCCTTGCATTCCTCTTTATGGTGATATTTTAAGCTTAGTTTAGCTTTTCTTCTTCCTACGTAAATATGAATAAACAATGCAAGTGAAAACGTTTCGCAGATTTTACCGATTATGTTGGGAAATTTTTTAATTTTCAAAAAAATTCATTTTCTAAGGGACAAAGTTTTTTTTTAAATTCTAGCTAACCGACTGTAATCCTTATTTTTTTTTTCGCAAAAATTAAGGATTACCAAAGCCTTTTCAACGTTCTTGTATTCGAAAGAAAACAAAATGTATAACTTCTAAATTGAATGATAACTTTTATAATTAATAAAAAGTGATAATTTGTTGAACAGAGCTCTAGCGATACTCAAGATATCAGAGAGAGAATACAAGGAACACCAAACATAAACAGACATTTTCAATAAGACAAAGAAATTGCGTTTTTGCTTCAAACACAAATCTAATCCCTATTTTTTTCAACCTAATAGTGTAAATCTTTCTTATTTCAATCTTGAATGATTTAGTCAAACAGAATTCATAATTTGAAATATCTAAGATCGTTGATATTTTAAGCTAGGAATTAGCTGTTAGACCAGGTTGCAAATAAATGAAAAATTTGAGTTTGTGGATAGAACATTTTTTTAATATTGCACGCCTGAATGTTTGAAAATCCCCCCCCCCAAAAAAAAAATATTAAAAAACATTTATAATTTGGTGTTTTCAGGAGCTATCAGATAACATGTTTAGAGATGTTTTTACTCAAAAAGTGGCACCGTTAGCCCCTGATTTGTCGATTAGTCTTTTAAATTGTAAACATAACACTGCAAACTAGACAGAGGTCACATACCTCTGCCCCGTTAGTAAAAGTAAATTTAACCTATATGAAGCATAAAGTCTGACCGCGTCAACCTTGTTGCACCGGTTAGTCCTGTCCATAAACACAGAAAGAGAAGGTACCTGTTGTAAGCGTAACCCCAGAGGAAGCTAAGAAATTAATGGAGAAGAAAATAAATATTCACGAAGCTTTTCAATTTCTTGTCAAACGGAGAGAAAAGAAAAAGTAAGTTAAATTTTTTTACTTAATTTTAAAAATATTATTAGCAGAGCTGGAAACGCTTTTATTTTTGATGTAGAGATTAAGGCTTCATCATCTGTTTTTTTTAGTCTGCAGATTAATTTAATCTCTATTTGATATCTAGGAAAGTGTTAAGAATTTAAGCAATCAAACTGTCAATTGAAGAAACCGAACAGCCAATCAGAAGCCGGGAAATTTTGAGCACAACCAATTTACCAACTTTCCCGCACTTTCATTAGAGGATTAGGCAAAAAATGAAAAGTGTCCACAATGGATATCAATATTAAGCGACCGGAATTAAGGGTATTCAAAACAAAAGTTCCTCAGCTCTGTCCCTAAAACTTTTTAAAACTTTTTTATTCCGTTAACTGTAGAAAATAAAACAGTCCTTTACTGTACTGTACTGTACTGCACTGTAATGTTCTGTACTGTACTGTACTGTACTGCACTGTAATGTTCTGTACTGTACTGTAATGTACTGTACTGTACTGTAATGTTCCGTACTGTACTGTACTGTACTGTACTGTACTGTACTGTACTGTACTGTACTGTACTGTACTGAGATAAGGAGAATAAGGGAAGTATATGTTTAGAAGGATAAGGAGAATAAGGAAAGTATGTTTAGAAGGATAAGGAGAATAAGGGAAGTATATGTTTTGAAGAATAAGGAGAATAAGGGAAGTAAAAAGTATATGCTTAGAAGGATAAGGAAAATAAGGAAAGTATATGTTTAGAAGGATAAGGAGTAGAAGGAAAGTATAAAGTATATGTTTAGACGGATAAGTAAAATAAGGTAAGTATTTGTTTAGAAAGATGAGGAAAATAAGGAAAGTATAAGTTTAGAAGGATAAGGAGTGGAAGGGAAGTATATGTTTAGAAGGATAATGAGAATAAGGGAAGTATATGTTTAGAAGGATAAGGAGAATAAGGGAAGTATATGATTAGAATGATAAGGAGAATAAGGAAAGTATGATTAGAAGGATAAGGAGAATAAGGAAAGTATGATTAGAAGGATAAGGAGAATAAGGAAAGTATGTTTAGAAGGATAAGGAGAATAATAGAATAGACAAGACAGTTTTCAGACAGGAAATTTCATTGACAGGACATTTCATAAACAAGACATTGCATGGACAGGATTTTTCATCAAAAGGATATTTCATAGACAGAAAAATTTTACAGACAAGAAATTGCATGGAAAGGAAATTTCATAGAAAGGATATTTCATTAAAGCCATTTCATCAAACAATACATTTTATAAAAAGGACATTGCATAAACAGGACATTATTAATGTATCAGTAATGTATGAGAGTGTGTAGTTTTTGTTTAAAATTATTAAAAGTATCAAAGGTATTCACTACACATGGAGGCGTATAGCTATCACCGGATTGACTTTAAGTGTAGGAGATTTTCATGTTATTTTGGCAGGGTGAGATCAGAGGTCTCAAGGAAGAGATACATTGCAATACAGGGTTAAGAGGATGGTGGATATTTTTTAATTCCTATATTTTTGCAACCCAATGTCGAATAACTTTCAAAGGATGAAATCTGTTAGATCAAATAATCAAAGTTTGAAATACCAAAGGTTTACACCATCAGGTTCCAAACATAAAGGGATTAGAAATGTGCAATTTATCGTTAGAAAAAAATCTTATTTTAAACTTAAAACAAATTTTTTTCGTCTGAAAAAGCCCTTAAGTCGATTTTTTCAAAGAGCGAATATCTTTAAAATAAAGTTTACTTGCTCTAGAAATAATTTTTTTCTATAGAATCTATGTAATTTTCTGAATGATGCTTTCCTTAATACACAGAGAAGGAATTTGATGGTGGGGGTAAACAGTTTTTACCCATGCTGTAGGTTTCAGGAGGGGGGTGGGTAATTTTTAACGTTGAATAATGTGTACACAATCCCTATCCTTCCTACCCTCACTGAATATACCCAACTTGGGATAAAATGATCCTTCATGAATCCTGCAGCAGATCCTGAATATCTGTTAAACAGTTCGCAATTGCAAATATAATTTGTTCGCGGAAAATATTAGCTCAAAATGAGGGATAATTCTAGAAAAATGTGCAGAGCAGATATTATTCAGTTCAATTCTGTTCCACAAACTACAGGGTGTCTCAAGAAACTTTTAGATTTGAAAATTACAGGTTGTCTTTCAAAAATTGTTGCAAGAAATTCACAATCTACAAAGTGTCTAAAAATTAACTGTCAATTCTAAAAACAAATATATTTTCATGAAGGATCCATTTTGTTTAATAATTTTTAGAAACCCCTGTCGTACTTTCTTGAATGTTCAACAATAACAAACTTTAAATATCCTTGTTAATAAATACGGTAATACACTTTAGGCGCAAATGTGGGTTCGAACCAGCGTAAAATGCGGCAAACAATGTAGGGGTTTATCCAAATTAGAAAAAAACGTCGAATGCTAATTGTCGAAAAATAGACGAAAATTTATTTACTAACCCTGTATCTTAACCTATATATGGAGTTAAGCCATGGTTAAACTTATCCTTGCACCCAGGTTTCATTCAGTTCTCCGGGTGTAATATATAGCAGGGATTATAGTTAACTCTCAATATGGTCAAACACATTCAATACATGGGATAGAAATAGTCAGACTGATTTGTAGAGATTTTATTTAGAAATCTATATTCAGATATTTTAGGTTACACATTTATCGTCAGTGATACTTGTATTGTATTTAATCATGGGTTACATGGTCTCATGTGTTTAAAATACGTTTTAATGGCGGAGAGTTTATATTTATCATATACTAGCTTGGGAACCCAGCTTTACACGAAAATCTTTAAAATTTAAATCGGGTCGTGAAAAGTTTAGCATCTTTAAACACACACTAATATTCCCGTGGTTCTAACGAGTCACCCAATCAAAATTAGAGGCAAATCGGTGAAGGTGTACGAGAGTTATGATCGGACAAACAACCAACGAACAGAGATTACTACATTATACAGAGTTACCCATAAAAAGGATGAGACTGTAAAGACGACCTGAAACTCTTTAAATTCGATGAATTGACAAAGAACAAACAAGTTTACAGTTGAATGGAACCAAGAATTTAAGGAAACAACCAGTATAAATTTCGTCTCATCCTTTGTGGGTAACCCTGTATACAGATAGATAGGAAGTCTAAGTTCAGGGTTATTAAAAACATTCATTGCATGCATTTCAAATCAATAAACTGTTTTATTAGTTGAGGTTTAATTTATTGAAGTCCTAATGGTTAAGGTTTAGTAAAATGTTTATTTAAAGGGAGTGACCGGCTATGTAAGGTAGTTGATCGAACTGAGTATGCAGTGTTGTGCAAAACTTCTTTCGGATTCATTTGAGACATATTAAACTTTTTAAAGATCTGTAAATCCTGAGTTTGAGCGCAAATTCGACGTTCAAAACTCCTACTTTGGGGGTGGATACGTTTTCAGAATGAGTGACTGAAGTATCTTTAGGCTTCTGAAACATTCTGCCTTCAAGAAAACCCCTCTTAAACATCGGAGGCCAGCTTTGTTTCTTCAAACTTTACAAACCTGGAATGCTAATCAGAGAGCTTCAGTAGAACACCAAGGTAAAACAGTAAAATATCTGATTTAAACTGCATTCTTGAAGTTGTGTGATTTCTTTATTGCTGAAGTTACAGTAATTTATAAATTATTCATGTTTAGCTACTGTAAAGAAGAGAAAAAAGACTATTAAGAAATCGATCACATTGGGAGACCCATGGATGTCACCCCAATCTAAGAAAAGGAAAAAAAATATTTTTGTTGGTAGACAGCTGACATTGGGAAAACTACTCTCAGGTAGTGAAATCTTTTACAATCCTAAAGAAAGGAATTGAGTTTTTGCCACAAACTTGAAATTTTTAATCCCTATATCTTTTAAACCTGATGATGTAAACATTTTTAATTTAAACTTGAACTATCTGGTACTACAGAATTCATACATAGAAATATCTAAGGTCTACGACATTTTGTTGCAAAGATATAGGGATTAGAAAATCACAGTTTGTGGCAAAGACTCAATTTTTCAGGAAAGTGTTTTTGGTTTGGTTTTTGTTACAGAACAATAAAAGAATAATAAATAATAAATCAGCAGAAATATATTTGCGTTTAACTGTAAGTTTTAAGAATGTTATCTTTGAGGATTTTCTTGTACCTCAAAACATGTGATAGTACAGGAAAGTAATAATTTTCTGTAATTATATATCATATAGTTAAAAAATGTGTCATAGGTTAAGAGAAAAAATGTTGAAATATTTACAATATTTTTCTTCTTAATGAGAATTTCTTTTGCTTAGACTAAATGTATTGTACATTTCAGGGGAAAAGTTGATGGTGTAGTTGTCCCAAAGGATTCAAATGTCAATCAATTCCCAAATGCTGGAACTTGTAGGAATCTTTTTTTCAGAAAATGAACAAAACTACAAAATTCAGAAAAGAGGAAAATGGTGTGTATTAATGTATATAGTTATTTTTAATCCAAAGGAATGAGTTTCTGCAAAAAATTCAAATTTAGTAATTCCAATATTTTGGCAATTTGATGATTTAACCATTTGATATTTCAAATTTAGACTACTTGATCTAACAAAATTAATAGATAGATAAGACTTTAGAGTCGATTGTACTGACTTTATATTGTCTGTTTCCTTATATTTATAATTTTCTGCAACTGAAAATTGTTTTGTCTTTTGCCAAACCAATTAATAATCCATTAAAACATTGTATTCAAAACTGAATCTAAAGAGTTTCATCTTATTTAAAGAGTTCTAGGTTGTCTTTGCAGTCTCATACTTTGTGGGTAACTCTGTATTAGATTTGAGTTTGTGGCAAAAACTCAGCTCCTTTCATTGGAAAGGCTTTAATATGCTGACTTAAATATAAATGAATATAAAACAAAGAATGGGCCTACCAAGAAATGAAAAAAGTATGTTGAAATTTTCTACATTATCAAATGCTTAAATATCTTTGCTTAAGATATTTTTTCTTTCATCAATTTTCCAAAATTAAGAATATTTCTTCTGTATTATCTAAACATTCGCCAACCACTTTAGATCTAAACCAGGCTTTTATACTAACTGCCTCAGGCTTCAGGCACACTGCCTGAATTACTACTTTTTCCTGTAACAAACAAAATCTTTGTTTCGACCCAATTTCAGTTGTCATATTTTGATCTTTTTTATCTTTTTTGAAAGCCTGTAACCTAAGGAAAGGGAATGCACAAGTTTTGCAAAGCAATTTTAGAAAATTATTTGCATTTCAAAAATGTGTATTTTATAACTTTTTGGACATTTTTTTTACAAACATTTTACTTTACAAAAAAAATTCAATTTTGACAAAGGAATTGAGCTTTTGTCGCAAACATGAAATTTATAATTCCTGAATCTTTGCTGCCCGATCTTGTAAGCCTTTTATATTTTAAACTATGAATGCTGCTAGATAAAATAATATAAGTTTGAAATGTCAAAGGTTTACACCATCAGGTAGAAAAGATATAGGTATTAGAAAATTTGAGTTTGTGTCAAAAACTTAGTTCCTTTGAAAAAGTTTTTTAATGTTGTATCATTTGTCATATTTGGACATCAAACATGGTTTTCACGTACCCCTAGGGTTAATAATAGGGTTAATTTTCTGAAAATTTTAACTTACAGGAATGGATGAGTGGTTATGAGGAAAAAAGAAATAACGAAGACTATGTTTTGAAGGTATGGGTGTGTTTTCTTTCCAACAATTTGTAGATAAAATACGGATTACAAACAAACAAACAAACAAAAATTTAACAATTTTCTCACAAGTCAAAGGATATAATTACACACCCATGATTATAGGTTATCTTGAGTGATTTTCTAATCAAGGAAGGAGATTTTGGATACAATTAATAATGTCCAATTCACAATACTAGCCTTTAAGAACCAAAGAGGAAGAAGGAAGTTTAAGAAGCATTATAAAAAATATTAAAAAGTGTACTTTTAATCCTTTTGGATAACCATGATCAAATATCTAAAATCACCGGTAGATGTATGCCGACCACTTTGGTTTCAGCATTCAAGAATCTGAACGAAGAATCAAAAACTCTCCTCTTCATGACGAAATAGATTAAAACTTTAGTGTAAAGGTAATAATTTGTTCATGCTGATTTTATATTTTCACATAAAAAAATAAAGAATTTGCTTTTACTACACAATTGCTTTATTCAAAATCCCTTTTATCGTTTTTTTCTTATTTGATGATATCAGGAAAAAATAAATTTTAGTTTCAAAGAAAAAATTTTTTTTTCGGGAAAAAAATGATGACTCGCCAGAAATTCTGATTTTTTAATCCTTTTACCTTTGTAACCTGATGTCATAGACCTTTGATATTTCAAATTATGAATTATGATAGATCTGATAATAAAAGTTGAAGATATCAAAGGTTTATACCATTACATTGTAAAGATATAGTAATTAGATAATTAAAAATTGCATTCATAAATATTGTACATACTCCTTTTATAGGTGAACTGATGCAGATGATTGTTCTAAGATGGAGTTTGCGATTTGCTCATACATATTGTAACAATTGTGTTAATACTTGCTTATTCCAAATCTTAACTTTATTAATCTGAAATGTTTTGTTGCTGAATTTTTATGAATATATTTAGTAATGGAAATGAAAATCAAAAATAATTAAAGATATATTTTGACTTTGTCAGTTTTTTTGGTGTAAAAATTTAGTTGTTTTTAAACAATTTTTTTTTCTTCAGAAAAATGGTTGTAGACTGGAGTGCATTATAACGGGAAAATCTCTTGACAATTGTGTTAAGCAGGTTTGGAATTAAAAAAATTATTGTTTTTTGTACTTATACATCTAAACATGTGTTTAATAATTACATAAATGATTAAGATATAAAAAACCACAGATATTTGATTTTAGATAATTTAATCTACATGAATTACAAATGAAAGAGAAGTGATTATATTATAAAGCACAGAGTTCCAGGCAGTGCAGTAATATGAAAGGAAATGAGTTGTTGCCATATTTGTCATATTTGCTTATCCCTATATATTTGCACCCTGAGGATTCAAACCTTTGATATTTTAAACGTAGACTATTTAATCTAACAGAATTCATAGTTTGGAATGTCAAAGGTCTACGACATTGGATTGAAAAGATATAGGGATCAGAAAATACCTTTGTGCATAAATTTATGACTGTTCATATAGGACTGTTCGGATGAGAACATGGAGCCTATAGAGTTCATTGAGTATGTGAGGCCGGAGAATGGTGTCATACTGCTGTGTATCTATTCAGCCAGGTTTTAGATTGGATGTGTTACTTTTAGCTCCAAGTACAATCAATTGGATTAGATTCAAACTAACATCATTATATTTGGATCTTTCAAGGACCCCTCATATTTTGACTTTTAACCCAATTCCTGATTTTTCCTACATACCCAAAGCCCTCCATTTAGGCCTAAAACCGGTCTTTAATACTAACTGCCTGAGTCCTCAGGCACACTGCCTGAATGACTGATTTTTCCTATAACAAACTAAATCTTTGTTTTGACCCACATCACATCACATATGCAATTTTTTTTATAGATTTGTGATAATAGTGAGTTGCGAGCTGTATATCAGGATGAATACTTACATTGAGTCAGAGAACTGAATGTTTTGGCAGAGATTAAGGTAAAAAAATGTGTGTATATCTAAGGTGAAATTTAAACCAAAGTGTGTATAACTAAGGCGGAATTTAAACCAATGTGTGTAGAACTAAGGTGGAATTATAATCAATGTAGGTAGAACTAAGGTGAAATTCAAAAACAAGAACTAAGGGTGGAGTACGTCAATGTGTGTATAACTATGGTGGAATTTAAATCAACGTGTGTAGCACAAAGGTGGGAGTAAACTAATGTGTGTAGAACTAAGGGTGGAGTAAACCAAAGTGGGTAGAACTAAGGTGAAATTGAAACCAATTTGTGTAGAACAAAGGGTGAAATTTAAACAAATGTGTGTAGAACTAAGGGTGGAGTAAACCAATAAGGGTAGAACTAAGGTGGAATTTAAAAAAATATGTGAAGAACTAAGGGTGGAATTTGAACCAATGTGTGTAGAACTAAAGTGAAATTTAAACCAATGTGCGTAGAACTAAGGTGGAATTTAGACCAATGTGCGTAGAACTAAGGTGGAATTTAAACCAATCTGCGCAGAACTAAGGTGGAATTGAAACCAATGTGTGTGGAACTATGGTGGAATTTAAGCCAATGTGTTTGGAACTAAGGTGGGAGTAAGCCAATGTGGGTAGAGATAAGATGGGAGAAATATTCCCACCACTTCTTTTTTGGAGGTTTCTTAAATATTTTCTCCTGAAATTCTTAGTTTGGTGTGTTTTGGTTATTTAATAAATAACCAATGACTAACTTACATACTAACTGCATTCTTTTATTGTATATAAATATTTCAGATATTATCTGGTCAATGAATCCACAATCTCAAGGAAATCACAAGGAATTTTAAGTTATTTAAGGAAATTAAAAAGCACATTTTGTAAAAAAAAATACTAAATTCACATTTCTCTTCTTTCTTTGAGAATATTTTTGATTTATATGTCCAATCAATTGTATTAATTTAGTGGCAACCATCACGTTTTTATCTTTTTATCATTATTATCTAGACCAAACTCTTTTTTAAAATTTCTTTCTTTATGGGGAATGTTTTCTGCCCTTTTGAAACTATCTAAATACTTTGGAGGGTTAACTTAAGTATATATTTGATTATAATGACCAATTAAATGTATTACTTATAGCCCCAACCGGTTGTTTTTGAATACTTTCATTTAGGCAGAACTCTTTTTTTAAATTTCTTTCTTTATGGGGAAATATTTGAGAAATGGACAAAATATATTCTTAAGCATTGCTTTTCTTGTTTCTTATTCCTTTGAATGATACTAAATGTTACTGTTATGTTGGTTGGTTGGTGTGTTGGGTCACTTGAGTTGGTTGGTAGGTCAGTTGGGGGTCGGGTTGGTCAGTCGGTCAGTATGGTCGGTTGGGTTGGTTCGGTCTGTCGGTCCATTGGTTAGGGTTGTCAGTAGGTCAGTGTTCTGGTCGGTTGTCCAGTTTAAGGTCTATCTCGGTTCCCTGTTCCCTGTTCCCTGTTCCCTGTTCTAGTTCCTAGGTTCGCTGTTCCAGTTTCCAGGTTCCCAGTTCCAGTTCCTTCAGAGATACCATCAAATTATACATGATTTTTAGAATGTAAGAACTTTGTCTTACTCACTTTTAACATATTTTTTTACAACTATGCTTCCAGGTAGAAACAGGCATCGTTCTTTTGAACACACAAAATTTTTTGTGAATGATGGTTTTATTAAAAAAAGAAAAGCCAGATATATATTCAGAGAAATAAAAAAAATTCAAAAAAAAACGGAAAACAGAAACTTTTCTTCAACATTTTTGTGAATCAGGCATGCACTTTTTTAAATGAAGGTCAATTGCACTTAAAATTACAGTTACAGTCTATTCATAAACTTATCATCTTTAGTTCACATAAGTTTTTTTTTAAATCTCTTGATATTTTAGGTTGTGGATAACCTGAGACTATGAAGATTAATGATTGAGTGGTACGATTTCTTCCCATCAAGGTAACAGTAAAATAAACTAAAAGTGGGCTTAAAATAAAAGCTATGAGACCAAAAACATCCTTATACCTTCTTTTCCACAACAAATTTCATTCTCAAAATTTTTAACTATGTTTTTAGGAACAGTACAGTAACCTGATGTTCAGATCTCTCTGAGATAAAATGGGTCCAAACTCTTTGGTGGATGTCGAGTTTACAAGAAACATCGATAATGTATGCTCCATTTTTTATGCAGCTAGATAGAATGTGTTTAATTAGTTAAAAGCTGACTTGTTCTAACTAGTTGCTTATGTTTATACATATTAATTATTCTTAATATTTGATATTTTACCGAATCAACATGTTTAATTGCAATGAATATATTCTTAAATTTGTTTGAGTATTTAAAAAGCTGACTAAATTACTTTAAAGTCAAAATTCTGAAAGGTTGAACAACACATTTTTACTGCGGGTTATCTATGATTATGTTGCATGATAAATTGGATTTTGTTGTTGCAGGAAACCGTTGAATGCAGTATATAGACGGCAAAGCAGGACAGTAACAAATGGATCATCTATTTCTAATGTGAATTATAACAATAAAGTTTTTGTTGTATTGTTTAATATATACGATAATTTGTTACATTCTGGACACATGTGCAATTTGTATACTTTGAATTTTTATTCAAACCTTGTTCAATTATTATTGGGTCTATGTTCACAAACTTTCATAAATGTTTATCTATATCTGCATTAATATTTAAACCATAAATAATGAATATGAAATTTTATTTTTTATTGCTGGGCTCCTAGAAGTGAGTAAATGTTAAGAAGTGTTTATTTTTTGCTCTTAAAAATGATATTGATTAGAGTGTTATCACTAAGAAGTATTGGTTGCAGAGGCTAAACTATCATTTTATCAGGGGAGTGGTGGCTGATTTTTATTTTTCGAGGTTTTTTTGTGGGGGGGGACTGGTCTGGGTAGCCCCCTTCCCCCCGTGCATAAAAAATTTCAAAATATAAGAGCTTTCTTAGGGATTTAATGTAAAAAAACCTGAATTTTTTAGTTGTTGCATGCAGATTTGGATCTGTATTTAATGAAAATTGATTTTCGTATATCCTATGGCTTATTCTTGTGTTTTTTTAAAAATGTATACTTCCAACAGCTGAAATATGACCAATAGAGTCAATTCGCTGAACGTGTGTGCAAAGCCCAAAAGAAATACTAGTGTCTTATTTTCCACATTTTAATGGGGTATCTTTTTATATGTTTCTTAGCGTCACTGTATCATATTCACTATGTGTATAAAGTCCTCTATTATAGTCTTCAGCAATTTTTTGTTATAGATTCATTTGTCCTTTATCATTTATATTGTCACTTTATTGTTAGTTTGTGTAGTCTGTAGTAAGTATTTCCTGTAAGAACTTTCTTTCAATCTTTTGTCTGTCCATAATCTGTATTCTGTAGGGGGGGGGGGGTAAATTTTTGTAATGTGGCGCGCGAAGCGCACCGAATTTTTTTAACTCCCCTAGAATTTTTTTTACCCCCCCCCCTGGAAAAAATATCATGATGTATATTAAATTATTAGTTTTAGTTGGATTTGATTTGCATTTTCTACTCATTTCTGGCATTTACAAACTCCATCAATTAAAGGCAATTAATTTCCTACCTTTTAACTTTCACCTTGTTTTATATCCTTTATTATAGTCATTCATTTTAGATTAACTACAAAGATCTGTAAAATACTGAATTTATTTTAAGTAACATAAAAAAATAGTTTTACTATAAGAGGAAAAATCTTTAAAAAGTTACTCTGCATAACTTTGAAAAACATTGTCTTTGTTTATATTATAATATCTAATTTATTAAATTTTCTTGTCGTCAATGTACAAGGTATATATGTTAATTTCACTATATTAAGAGAAATGTCTTACTTTTTAAAGTTTAATTCTAAATAATCTTGATCTTTTAACATATTATCCCCCCCCACACCCCACGAATAGCTTTATACTTAATTTGACATATAGTGTTACTATGTTACTTTGTTAAAGTTGACTAAGATTATCTGCAAGAAGCGCCAAAATTTTTTTTACATTTTTCCTTTTAATAGTAATCATGAACATGGAGAATGGAGATCAAGATACTAAACGGGGATGTTTGTGTCCCCAAGATTCTAGGGGATGGGGATAATTACCCCTACCCAAAAGGGTTCTAGGTGGAGGGGGGTAAGTGACCCCAATAACCCTCCTTATTTTTACTTCTCTTATAGTATATATCCTTATTTTTTCTTGATGTTCTTCTATCACAATATGCAATTTCTTGGTCGTCAATTTTCTGTTTCCTTAAATTTCATGTTTTGGTAATACCCATAAGAATTAACATGTTTATAAATAGTTAGTTTGTCGATAGAGGATAAATAAGAACTAACATGTGTATAAATAGTTAGTTTGTCGAGAGAGGATAAATAAGAATTAACATGTGTATAAATAGTTAGTTTGTCGAGAGAGGATAAATGATTTTCTACAAATTTAAAAAGGGAAAATAGCAGGAAATTCTTTTAGAAATATTGCGCAAAGCGACAAAGAAAAATGTAGGGTTTTTTCTTAATTTGCAAAATTTATTAAAAAGTTGTCCACAATCAATATCATGANATTCCTAATTGGAATTTGAAATATTATATTTATAAAAAAATATTAGAGCATAACAAAACACAAAGTTTGGTTGAAGAGCATGTAGACGTATTATAAATTTTAAATATCCAAGGTTTACACCATCAGGTTGCAAACGTTCCATTCGTTATTTTTTATTTTTCATTCTTTGTTTTTTTATAAATGGTTATTTCTGTTTATTTGATTAAAATATAACGTTTTTTACAATTCGTTAACGGAATCATCCGTTAATTTAAAAAAAAATGCCGGTCCCTATATTTGATTGTATCCAATAAACAGCAAACTCAATGTGGTCCCAATTAATTATGGTAACTATACAAATGACCTCAGAGACGGTTTTCGTCGTTCAGAGTTCAAAAGTGTTGCCTAAAATAATTTAGTTTAATTTAACTTTTAGTTACATTGGCAAAATTTGTTATTGTTATTATCTTAAACAGTGCATTGTATAAAGGTTTGCATATATTTCAGTAACAAAAAGCTAAAATTATTCCCTGCAGCAGTGTTTATAATAGTTGAAACCCCGGTAATATATAAATCACTATGGGGAAAAATTCAAACCTTTTTAGTTCACACAGAACATTCCTCCAGTGAATTAAAAAACCCTCCAGTAGAACTTTACTCTTTGTAAGAACTCAAATCCTCGCCATTTTGAAATGCAATTTACTCCAGTGGAATAAACAACCCTCCGGTAGAACTTATATTTTGGTAAAAATTTAAAAGCTCTCCAGTAGAAATAATTTTCTCTCCACTGGATTTAGAACCCTCCGGTACTCTCCAGTAGTCTCCAATTATTATTGAAAACTTCAGTCTCTCTTTCAGAATTAGTTTTAACTTTTACGTCGTAAGCCTTTGAAATTTCAAACTATGAATTCTAAGTCTAAGTCTAAAAGGTATAAACCATTAGGTTGCAAAGACATAGGGATTAGAAAATTACCATTATGGCGAGTGTTTAGTACCTTTAAAATATTTAAGTTTCTAAAGAATATATTTTTTTGTATGTTTCTGCCATGCAATAGTCATTGATTGATTGAATAAATCGACGGGGTTATGAAAAAAAAAATGGTGTGATAAATATTATTACTTTTCATTTTTAAAGTTTTCAATCAGAGACTCGTAAACAGTGTATTCGTTTCTGGTTCGTAATAACATACTTGTAAACGTTCGAATACATATTTTTATTATAATTATTATTATTATTATTGTTGTTTCTATAACTTATTCCTTATGTTTAAAGGAATTGAGTTTTTGCCACAAACTCAGATTTTCTAATTCTTATAACTTAGCAACCCATTTTCCTAAACCTTTGATATTTCAAACTATTAATTCTGGTAGACCAAATAGTCTAAGTTTGAAATATCAAAGGTTTACACCATCAGGTTGCAAAGATATAGGGATTAGAAAGTTTAAGTTTGTTGCGAATCAATTCCTTTATAAACTGTTGCTCTGATCCAATGACATACTAATGGTTTTAATTAAATACAGCCAAAATATGCACACTCACAACCAAACAATTTGATCAGAATTTTGCCAACTACGCTTTTTGGATCTCTGTGATATATGTAAAAAGAAATTTCAAATATGAGATTCTGCAGTTGGGGATTCACGATCTTCTATTGTGCAGATATTGAGCAAAATTATTATGCAGACTTTTGTGCAAAAACCCCGTCTGGGCATGAATATCTATATTTGCATGCTGTCTATCGTGTGTGGTTATATCAAATAAACGTTTGAACCGAATGGAACAAAAACTATTCAAAAAAAGGAATTGAGATTTAGCCTCAAATTCAAATTTTCTAATCCCTATATCTTTGCAACCCGATGGTGTAAACCTTTGATTTCAAACTATGACTATTTGATCAAACAGAGTTCATATTTTGAAATATCTAAGATCTACGACATCGGGTTGCAAAGATATATAAGTTAGAAAATCAGAGTTTGTGGCAAAAACTCAATTCCTTTCTCACTCTATTACCAAAAGCAAAACCTTCCGCATGAAAATTCCTGTTTAAAAAAGGCAGTTTATCTTCTTGGGGGGGGGGGGGAGTGATTTGCGTATATTTCCAAAAAGTTGCTTATATACTTCATAAAGCAAGCTGCTAAAGGGTCATTTATAATAGTAAGTTTTTTGTATCTACTGCATAAAATTGCAAGTTGCACTGTTACACAGAATCCACAATAGAAAGTAAAACAAGAATATCTTTGTCATTTTGCGGAGGTTTCAAGGGTTCTGTTATGAATCGCGGGCATGCAATTCTATATTATATATTTAAATTAAGCTTTTAAGTAAATGTATAAATGAATAGGTTTCATTATAAGCCTGTAAGCCTATATAAAACCCGCGAATAGAATATGATTTTAGAATCTTGATAAGTTTATGCAGTAATTTAACACCACTATCACAATGTTATAGTAAGAACTTAGGCGGGTGCCAGACACCGGAAGAAAATGATCAAAGCTTCTAGAATTCTTATAATTTATCTTCAGTTCAATGCATATTTATGCATGCAGAAGCAAAGTGTTCTTCACTTTGATGCAGAAAAGGGTGAAGGGACGGAAAATTGAATTTAATCGGTTCACACGGTTCATTGTCTTCGCAGTTCAAGATTTTAAAGTGAAAATTTGAACGCCACTGGATGTATTGTAAAGCATGAAACACTGCAACCTAACTTTAGCGTTCAAAATTATAAAAAAAAACAAGAACGTATCTTAAGTAAAAGCAATTTAGTCTTTGCCACAAACTCTGATTTTCTAATCTCTATATATTTGCAACACAATTTCGTAGACCTTTAATATTTAAAACTATTAATTTTTTTAGTACGATAATCTAGGTAATACATAATCTGTTCTCAACTGTTATACTCTCAATATTAATTTGGCGCAAAGAGCTTTGTTATATAAAGAGTAGGCATTGGGATTTATACGCAAAACCAGACGCCTTAATTGGGTTCAATAAGAAGCCAAAGAATGTCGTCTTTTCTATAATTTAAAAAGATTTTAGGACTTTTTAGGACTTTCCATCACCAAAAACTTGCGTTTTTTTACATAATTTGCCGTTAGAAATGCATAACTTTATTTTATTTTTTAGATAACCTTTATCTTTAAACAAACTGCAATGTAATTGGTTAAAAAAAAAATTGGCTACTTAAAACCAAGGTTTTTTCGGGCTTTGCTCACGTTACTGGCCTAAAATTCTGCTTTATACTTTAACAAAACTATACTAAATGACATCTAACAAATTTTGTTTTAAAATGTGTGGTATTTTTCCTAAAAATGAGATGCGTAACAAAATCACAATTTTAGCTTTATTTTAAACAGGAGAGCATCCTATCCTATAACCGAGAAAAACAAATTTAGAAGTTTATAATTGCGTCGTTATTTTCCGCCAATTTTTAGCAATTACAATGATTAATTTATTTGATAACTAGAGTTTTAATGTTGATTGTTTGAATCTACTATTTCTTTTACTATTCTACCGTCTTTGATTTGACGTACCACATTTACATCTGTACGTTGGAGGAGTCAATACATTCTCAAAAATATATATATAGAATAGGTTTAATTACAAACCTGCTCCAAAATATATGTATATCGAATAGGTTTAATTACAAACCTGCTCCAAAATATATAATTTATAGAATAGGTTTAATTAAGTTTACTCGCACTTGGTCGATTTTACCGGGAAACTAAATTTTTGCTTTCAAGTCGACCCACTCAACTTTGAATCTTAAAACCAAACTAAGATCATTCCCGTGGTTCTCCCGAGTTCCCTAATTAAAATTTGATGCAAATCGTTCAAAGGGTTCCAGAGTTATGATCGGACAAACAAACAAGCAAAGATTACAACTTTATATACAGATGTATAAATATAAGATTCTGGTTAAGACAAAATCCAACATCCTTAAAAACCTAATTATCAAACCGCGGGAAATATTTTTCATTTTATTATTTTCCTACGGACAATTGTATCAATCAAAAAATGTTTTTGATACAAAATATGAATTCACAAGCGTGGATACATATGTCAGGAACCATTATATAAGGATACATTATATAAGGACACATTGTACTATACATTATGTACAAAGATAAATTATTTAAAGATACATTGTACTAGGATACATTATGTACTAGGATACATTATGTACAAGGATACATTATCTAAGGATACATTATTTAAAGATACATTATCTAAGGATACATTAATTCAGGATACATAATTAAAGGATACATTATGTAAGTGTACAATATTTGAGGATACATTGTGTAAAGACTAAAGATACATCTTGAAACATGTGTAAGATATATATATAGTTTTTTTTTCGGATTAATGTGTACACAGATATAAATTATGTACATAAGAACCTAATCAAAGCAGTAGGTGTGTACTGCATTAAACTGCAGTACATTAACCGACGAAATTGAGGCTTTTACTGGAGAGTGGTGGGTACATTATGTAATAATGACAAGTTTTGTAAGTTTATAGTTTTACCTTTCACACATAGTTCCTAGTTCCGCAAGACCCAGAGTATCACAATTCTCTCCTCTGCTAAACGGCTCCCGACAAATATTAACCCTATAATATAAAAGATAATAACGAAGCTAATGAAACTTAACGCTCCCTGCATTACAAGGATTACAACAAAGATCTGACATCAACAGGTTCGAAAATTTACCGGTATAGATAAATCTAAGAGTAATCTGATCTAATGAGAATTTGATCTAAGAGTAATCTGATCTAATGAGAATTTAATCTAAAAAACGTGGAAATTGATCTAAAATATTTTTTTAGATCTATGCCCGCATTTTTCTGAAAATTTTTGGAATTTGATTTCAAAAATTTGGAATCTGATCTAAAACATTTTTTTAAATTTGATTTTTCTTGTACATTTTAATGTTTGTTAAGTGAAGAATTTCACTTGTTTTCCCAAAATTTGATCTAAAATATGTGGAATTTGATCTAAAATATGTGGAATTGGATTTAAAATACGCAGAATTAAATCTAAAACATGTAGAATCTTATCTAAACTATTTTTTTTTTCAAAAAATATTTTTTTGGCCTCAAGGCCTCAAAACAATTTTAACCTTATTTCTTAAAATATGGAATTTGATGTAAAAAGTGTAAATATTTGATATATTTTAATAAATTGCTAATTTTGAAGATGAACAGTATGACATGTGTCCGGCAGTTCAGCTAAACAAACGAATGATGAACTACAGGCAAACTTTTTGTCCTAAAAATAAAAATAATAAAATGAAAAATTTGTACCTTTAGCATATTAGAAGCAGAAATTCTGTCTGATGATTTGTCGGTGGTTGCAAAGCTATCATTCTCCTAAAACATTGAATTTTTTAAAATTAACTTATTTTTATTTTAAATTGACTTTGATTGGATTGATGTTGGCTCAATAAAGGCTTGTTGATCTAGATATCTAATAAACCATCAGAATCAGAAGAGGAACTATGATTACTCAAATAAAGCTCGCTTTTTAAAATTTCTATATCTTTGCAACCTCATGTACCTGTTTACCCTGTGTTACCTTTAGTCTGAGTAGTTTAACGACTGCTATATGAACCCTGTTTCCTAAGGATGGATCCCGGTAAATCAGTGATACCTAAATTGTAAAAAGAATTGAGTCTTTGCCACAAACTCTGATTTTCTAATCGTTAAATCTTTGCAACACAATGTCGTAGACATTTGATATTTCAATCTATGAATTCTGTTATGATTAAAGTTTGAAATATGAAAGGTTATAAATATTGAGGGTTTAGAAAATCAGAGTTTGTTGCAAGAACTCAATTCCTTTAAAGAATTTTCACCTTGATTTAAAAAAGGTATTTTTCATTTTTCGTGTAAGTAAAATTATCAGTTTTTTGTATCTCTATAAATGTTCTAAAAATGCTTTGATTCTTAATAATTTTATTATTATTATTGTGTATTGTTAATCGTGTGAAGATTTTTAAGTATTATCAGCATCATTATTAATATCACATTATGATTATAGTATTATTATTTTTATTATGACCATTGTATGTAGATTGTAGAACATGCCGAGTATGCATTTAAAATCATGTTCTACGAATCAATCCCAACTTTGCAAAAATGTTTTCCAACCCCTCCTTCTCTTGATGCAGACACAGGATTATTTTCGAGGAGGGGGGGGGACTTTTTATCAAGATTTATTACTGATAATTAGTGATTACATACAGTCAATTAAACAAATATTCATTAAAAAAATAAATACTTGGTACGATATATCCTATTTAATTGTACTGTAATTATGGAAATATTTTAATATTTTGTTCCTTGTAAAGTTATTCCAAAATGAATTCATAATTTTTTAATCTATTTAATTTAAGTTTGAGCGTCCCGACTCCCGGGGCCCCAAGAATTCCAAAGTGGAAAGAATTGGGATACTGTAATACTATTAAAATAATTTTGTACAATTTTGTAATTATCTTTTAAAAAACTTTTTTTTTAAATAAAAAAAAAAGTTAAAAAATCTAATTTACCTTAATTTTCTTAATATGTTCTTTTTTATGCATAGAAAATAAGAATTTTGAATCTATATTTTAAAATTTATTATATATATATATATATATAAAAGGTTGGTTTTCTACCTTTAACGGTAAAATCGTAATTGACGACAAATGGCGGATGAACGGTGGGACTAAATTGACATGATATGAACGTTGGAGACCTAGCTTTGTCTGCAAAATAAATTTTCAGTCAACTTAAAATTCCCGTCGTTCTACCGAGTTCCCCAACAAACCTGGAGGCAAATAGGTCATGGGGTTTATGTGTATGATTGAGTTACTACCAAACAAACATAGATTACTACTTAATACGTATAAGTATATATATATATATATATATTAGATTGGGAACCCAGGTTTGCCTGGATTTTCGAGTCGGTTAACTGAACTTAAAATTTTCAAACCATGCTATAAATTGTATTATATATTGTACAAATTTTCCATATGTGCATCGTGCATAAGGTTGTTAAGCGTTTTGGTTCGTTTAAAAAAAAATTAATAAAACTTCGAAGATAATTCAACTGAATTCGGAAAAAGTTTTCTTTCATTGCAATATTAAAATCAACCTCTTGTGCAGTTGATTACGCTCTGCTGCAGTTAAACAATATATAAGGAAGATAATTGGTTTTATGCTCGTCATTTAGTCTGCATTCTTGGACAATGAAAGAATACATTTCGAGTTCTTCTGGGCTTAAAAATCAAAGATTATGGGCACATGCAATCTGAGTGCGCGTGCGACTCCATGAATGCCGCGTCAAGGTTTCAATTGTCCGGTTTAAAAAGTGCCGTAAGTAGTTAGGCCGAGTTGAAAGCTGAAGGTGTAAAATTTACATATTTGCTCAAATATGTTTTTAGCACAATATGCTAATTTGGGATTTTAAACTCGATTTCAAATATATCCCTGCAAATATGTTTTATTGAAGTAAATGTTACTGCTCAACTTTTTGCAAACGAAAATTGTTAAGTTTTGACTTTTGAACAAATTAGTGAATATGATGAATGAATTGATATTTGAATAGATGAATGAAGAAGTAGATAGAAGGGTGAATAGATGTAGATGAATAGATGAATTAAGATATTTCAAAGATAAAGATGAATTTATTTGATGGATTTATTACATCAAACGCAAATAATTGAAAGTGAAAAATATAATTGGGTGAAGGCTAAAACGTATATTTATATATTATTATATTCAATAAAAATAATATATATTTCACATAAATAGTAAATACTAATATCAATTTATACTTGAACTTGTTATTGGTGAATTTATTGCGGTGCAATATCTACAGTGTTGAAATATTTATTTATAAATGCAAAATGTGAAGTATAAACTATGATTTATTGCGGTGCAATATCTACAGTGTTGAAATATTTATTTATAAATGCAAAATGTGAAGTATAAACTGCGCTCGGGATTTTACAGTAGTACTGGGTGTCCCAAAAAACGTTGCATTAGCGGCATTGGGTGCTGAGGGAACAATTTTCGCTAAATTTTAACAATCATGGCATCATTGGAAAACTCTATATTTCAGTTATTTCTATTCCTAATGCTCCTACTGAAAAGTGTTTTGTTGGGACAGCCTATATATGATTATATTATTATTATATAGTTAACAAGTATATGATTATACTAAAGTACACTTAAATACAGTAGTTAACAAGTATATCATTATACTGTAGTTAACTTAAATACCGTAGTTAACAAGTTTATGATTATTTATACTACAGTACACTTAAATACAGTAGTTAACAAGTATATGATTATACTAAAGTACACTTAAATACAGTAGTAAACAAGTATATGATTATACTAAAGTACACTTAAATACAGTAGTTAACAAGTATATCATTATACTGTAGTTAACTTAAATACAGTAGTTAACAAGTATATCATTATACTGTAGTTAACTTAAATAAAGTAGTTAACAAGTATATGATTATTTATACTACAGTACACTTAAATACAGTAGTTAACAAGTATATGATTTTACTACAGTTAACTTAAATACAGTGGTTAACTGTATTTGATTTTACTGTAGTTAACTTAAATACAGTAGTTAACAAGTATATGATTATTGCAGTAAACGTCAATGCATCGTAAATATCTCTAAAATTATCTAAACTGTGGAGATCTGCAGACATGAAGCCAGACTCAGGGAATCTCTGTACTTTAACATATATTTACACTAAAACTAAACAGAATCCATATCTGGGTCACTAGGTAGCTTACAAGGAAACTAAAACTGGGGAAAATAGCGCAAAAAATCTGATTATAAAAGGATTTTTGACCTATTTCAAAACCTTTGATTTTACAAGAATTTTCTTAGTGACAATCTCAGTTTTGAGAAATGTCTGTAAGAGAAGAAAATACTAGATTTAAGTGCAATGTAAGCTCTTATATTTAATTGTTAGAGTGAGACCACGTTACAACTACAGGGTGTCCCACGAAACATGACAGTAGCAAGACGAATTGAAAATTATCTTTGAAATAATTTGTGGCATTAATTTCAGATTTCGACAATTTTGGTTTTATTTATTAGAACTGAAATCTCAATATCTCCGGTAATATTGACAACACAAAAAAGGCACACCACATTTTGGAAATCCCAGGACTAGGAGAAGTTTTTGTTTATTGTTTCAAGAATGGTTGACGACTGAATCCCACAAATAAATTCCAAGTTCTGAGACTTCCATTAAGTCGTCTTGCTACTGTCATTTTTCCTATTCTTTTTCCCAAATCATCAAGTATCTTCGATTATAAGATATATGTTAGACCAAATTCAACCCTCACATTTTAAGACTTTTAAAGTCTCATCCTTTTTATGGAACCCTCTATTACTTTAAACACGCTAAAAAGGTTCTAAATGCACCAAATACTTCAAACAGTTACGGTGCTATAAGCGTGTAAAGCTATCTATACTTACAATATGCATGAGAGTAAGAACGTAGTGTCGGACTCCAGTCCCATGATACTTAATCATTGGTCCATCCACCACAACAAGTACTTCTACCCAGGTTTCCTCGGCTCCAGGAGGCCAGATCTTCTTAGCTGCAGCCGGCCAACTTTTAGCTGATCGCCGCGGTCGGTCAGATTCTAAATTATTTAAAGAGATCGCAAATAAACATAAATACAGTGACAACCAGAAAACTCTGGAAAAGGAATGACTTATGTATTACAATGAACATGAGACATAGCAATTATGTAGTGTCAACAGACCCTTTTCACTTAATAAGTGATTAAATAAGTTACTAGTAAAACTCTTAAGTATTGGTATAATGTCGTAATCCTATTCCACAGTTTTCTGGTTCTCACTGTAAAAAAGCATAACTCTAGATATTTCGACAACATGTTTTTTCCTTTATTTAAAGGGTCCCCCCTCATATCAGATCTAGAGGAAACTGTTTTCTGACGCAAGTTTTCCAGCCGAAAACTGTGATAGATTTTGTAATGTGGAGAGTTAAAAGGTTAAGCTGGAAGGTAAGGTTGGGTGGGTGGTGGACGGAGCTATAGCTATAAATGAGGATTCGATTTAAAACTGCAAAAAACGCGCGTGGAGTAAAGCTACTAAATATTTTCTTTAAAAACTTGTCGATAATTAGTTCGGATACTCAGTAGGTCGGTTTCCTCTAGGTCAGTTTCCATAGCATCCTTCCCGCTTTCCATAATATCAATGTCCAAACCTACCTTCGACTATGCTCGGTGATACAGGATGACTCAACCTCTCCAGGGTGTGACCTGTCGAGTTCAATTCTCTACTTGGAGATATGAAAAAACTCTCGTCTTCAACTCGAAAATGTCCAGTCTGAAATACATGAATAGTATGTTAACAAATTGAAAAGGAGAGAAATATTTCTTTGATTTATAATTTAAAGAGAAAAATGGCGGGGGGGGGGACACATCCATAATAAGGGATATCTAGTTGTTGTCGCTTAGAAACAAGATTCTGACGATGAACAGATAGACAAGGTATAACCCACGAATCAAAATCGATAATGCAGAAAACTCTTTATTTCCTAAAAAAAATAACGAAATGAATAATGATAAATAATTATTACAGGGTTTACAAATTTATAATGAAAAGATTCATTTTTGTTTAACTTTGAAATGGTTCACAATTGATAAACGTTTTAACTCCGTCATCGGAGAACAAGGAAGAAAGGCGGGCTGAAGGTGGGTTCATCTCGAGGCTTTCTTATTATTCTTATTATTTGGTATCTTTTGCTATTCAGAAGGTTTATTTAAATTGTCGTTTCATATGATTTCCAGTGGAGAATTTATAAATATATGAATATAAATAAGTAAATGACAACAACTCACCATTCCATGGCAAAGATTAACCGCAACTATTGAGTTTGGTGCACCACGAATCCGTCCAGAGTAAAAGCAGGACGGGGTTTCAAATGCGGAAACATTCCCTTGCAAAGTATTTTTCGTCCTATCCGTCCAGATAACCTCATCTACCCTTGGTGGAAGATAAAGAACATCAGGTTTCAGGATAACGTGGAATATTCTCCGGAACCCGGTGATCAGGAACCTGTTTGGACCAGAGATTGTTGAACTAGCTCCGGTGTACAGTGTTGAGGGGATACCCGGAGAAGAGGAGAGACGGAAAACTTGAACCATGTCACATCTCTCACTACCCTCCCAACAATCAGTGGTAGAAAAGAAGTCTGAAAGAATGAAGAACAGGACGTTAGAAAAGGGTCGGACAGTTTTTGTATAAGTGCGGAAAATAAAAAGTGGCGGATGAAAAATTAATGGCGGGAAAAAAACAATTTTCTGGAATTAGAAATGGCCAGGATTGTCGTAAACAAACAATTGTCCAGAAGATAAAATGTGGAAAACATCTTATTACATCTACAAAACATGAAAGATGAGGATTCAGGAAAAGCAAATATTTAAAGAAAAGCAAAAAGAATAAAATAATTGAAAATTGAAAAATACATAAAAAATTACCATTGGCAAGATGATTTGGCATGATGGATTTAGTGGTTTGATATTCTAAATTAACAGAGAAATTATTGTTTAATTTTACTAAAAACAACAGAAAAGACAAAATATAACCATTCATTTAATGCAATTCGCAATTCGCTATAACTTAAAGTTATCATCGAATAAAACATTTAAATGTTTAAATCTGAATATTTTTTATCATTTTTAATTTCTCCGAACTGGTCTAAATTCTAAAATTTTATCTATTTATTTAATTGCTATACTGACTCAAGATCTAGTTTGTAAATTGACTATTTCAATTAAGCTTGAAGTGCAATGTGAACTGCACTAAATTCACGGCTATTTAAACACTAATTTCCCAATAAAAATGGGAATTCAAATACGAGATTTAAATGACTTTTGGAACGCGGCATTAAATGCTCAATTTCTTAAAAAGTTTTGACATGTTAAATGTTTATGACAGACGCCATGATTTCAAAGGGTATTCTTTTCTTGATTATCAAAAAAGATCTCATACAAAAAGGTGATATCTAAAAAATTGGTTTTTTTTTCTATAGAAAAGTTTTTTTTTGAAGAATTTCTGTCCCTAACGAATTAGACTTAAACTCTGCAGCTCCGACTGGAACCAGGCCAGACAAGAGAACCCGTACCAAGCAGAGAACCCGGAGAAATGTTTTCCGTCCTCCTCGGGAACTATAGATTAGATTAAACATATTATTTTATTTTTACAATTCAAATAGTTATTTTCATTTTAAGTTAATAAATATTAATTTTATTAATAGTTTATAGGGGTGTATCCAGGAATTTTTACGGGAAGGGTCTTAACCTTATTTGATATTCCTCCTGGAAATCATATTTGCCACTTCTCAATGAGGGGGGGGGGTACCCTTAAAAACTTTGTCTGATCAATAATGTGGAAGAAATCGCTTAAGTGTTTAATTCTGACATTTTTCTCTTTCGTTTATGAAGCAGAAATAAGCAAGTTACTATGTTAAGAAACCACAATTTTCAATAGAATACGATGGATATCTAATATTGATCTGAATAAGATTTAATAGGGACCGTTGTGAATAGGACGTGCCACACTATAAATGGAGGGTAACTTTAAATTACGTCTACAGCCCTATTAAGGGGCCAGAGTGAGACCACGTAATTACCTGATATGACTAGATTGAGAAGATAATGTTAAATATTGTCCTAGCTGACTCAATACTAAACCAAACCTACTGGACACATCGTCTCTCTTTAAACAAGGTTTGAAATACGTGTCTTCTCCATGTCTATCTACGCACCCGGAAACTGAAGAAAGTTGTGGTTTCGGATAATCCGGAAATGAATCCGGACCCGGAGATAAAAACTCCGATCCCTGATTCGAAACTGATTCTTGAGAGAATTCCGGTTGGAAAGAAGGCCCCGGCTCCAAAGGTAAACAAGTATTATTAACTAATTGTTCTAACAATGCATTTTCACTGCATCTCTGGAAATTATAAAGGTCTGTGATTGGATCCATAGAATGGGATGATCCTGCATTTTTCTCCGGGTTCAATCCTGCTGTTTCGTCCTGTAGTATTGTATCTAGGGTCGGAGCTAGGTTTGGTGACAAGGTTCTATTCTTGTTCCAAACAGAACTCTCATTCAATGATGAAATTGATTCATCTAAGCGTGATGTATCCCTTCCACGAAATGAATCTTGTTCTTTAATCCAATCCAGTGAACTAAAAATGTCTTTCTCAGAGTTTGTGTCACTCAACAACCGTCTTTTAACCGGGAACATTCTAATCTACACAGAATAAGGATCAGGGTTGGATTTTCTCCGGGTTCAGGTTAAGATAGGACTCATCATTATTCAGATCGTAAGCCCCAATCTAAAATTAAAGATTTGCTTTCACCTGGAGATAAAATGCTGTTCAGGTCAGCTCTAACTACAGCTGTGTTGAAATTATCAATGATTATTATTATATTCCAAAATTTAAACGAAAAAAAACCTTCATGCCATCTTTTGTCCCTTCTATCTATTTTATGTTTGACGAAAATTGTGTTCAACTTAAAAAAATAATGCTTAGCTAATATTAGTTTTATCGCAATCTTAATAAATATCTTCATAGGAGTTATGATATAGCTATAATGAAAAAAGTATATGTCATTCTGGCCATTTCTTTAGGGAAAGGAATTGAGTCTTTGCAACAAACTCTGATTGTTAATCCCTATATCTTCACAACCCAATATAGTAGACCTTAGATATTTCAAACTATGAATTCTGTTGGATCAAAGAATCTAAGTTTGAAATATAAAAAGTTTACGCCCAAAGATTGCAAAGATAGGGATTAGAACTCTTTTGAGTCTGTGGCAAAAACTCAATTCCTTTATGAGCGTTTATTAAGACGTGTTTGGGTTATCAATTAAAAAATTTGGACAACATTGTATGTATTTTCAAATGAGTAAATAATTCCTTTAAGTTTTCACAAAATGTTTTAAAATCGAAAATTTGTCAAAGTCGTTTATTCTGCAGGAGGCATGTATCATGATAGATCAGAAGCGAGGTTGATAAACGACCTAATTTTTTAAGTAAAGAATATGAATTACCTACAGGTTCAGTACTCCAGGTATTACCAACAGGTTCAGTACTCCAGGTATACCCTAATATCAAGTAAAGAATATAAATTACCTACAGGTTCAATACTACTCCTAAAGGTATACCCTGATATTAAGTTAGAATATACATTACCTACAGGTTCAGTACTCAAGGTATACCCTGATATCAAGCAAAGAATATAAATTACCAACAGGTTCAGTACTCCAGGTATACCCTGATATCAAGCAAAGAATATAAATTACCTACAGGTTCAGTACTCCAGGTATACCCTGATATCAGGTCTTGGAGCCTCAACTTGAAAGACTCTCTTTATCATCTTTGTTGTTATGAATATCGAGTCTTGGTTTTATAGAGAGAAATTCTCCTTTTCACCCTCATCCCTCATTATTAACTCTGGAAAGAAAAAAATATGTTATTTATAACTAACTCAGTTAACTACAGGGTTACCCACAAAGGATGAGATTGTAAAGACGACCTGAAACTCTTAAAATATGACGATCTCAAGGTTAAATTAAAACAATATTATCATGAATATAGGAAACAAGACAGTACAGTTATCTCTGAAGTTTCATCCATTGTGGGTAACCCTGTATAGAGTATGCTTTCAAGAAAAATTTCAATTACAGGGTTACTCACTAAGAACAAGACTTACTCTATCGTCAACATTAAAAAATGAAACTAAAGTTTCCATGTCTTATTTTAATTTATATATAAATAAAACCTTTAATGTTTGAATTTCGAAATTTGTTGATTGTATGAACTTGTAAACAAAGATATTGTGTTGTTGTTTGAATTTGTAGCATTTTGAGTTCCAACATTGGCCGGGCAATAATACAATTTAACATAAATAGCACAAGTTAAACATGGCATAATTTCTTCTGTGTCCGATTAACAACAGTACCTTTAAGCCTGTATCTTAATAACAGTAGGAAAGATATTATCGTTGACTGGAAGACAAAGACTAAATTATAATTTTTTGAATAAGAGAAAACAAGGATCTTCATCATACTTGCCGTTGTGAATCTTTAAATGGGTAGTTTTCTACTTGAAAGTACGTCTACAGTGTCTAACAGCGGTAATTTGCCGATTATGTAAAAGTCTCGAACCACACCCCTCATATAGTTTAAATGAACGGGGGGGGGGGGGGAGGAAGATAGAGATCCGAGTACAAATTACGTCTCATTCAGATACATAGGGCTGATTATTAATATCTGATTCGAACCATATATGGAGGTTTATTTTATACAAAGATACTTGGAAGAATCCTGCTTCAGACATGCTTTTGGACCGTAGCTTTCAGCTGAAAGGGTTTATACATGTAAATGTTTAGTGAATGCAAATTTTCAACCAATTTTCATTACTTAAAGGGACTGCAAACGTAATATAAAGTCGAATTTTAAAAGTTTAATTTCCTATTAAACTCGGCACTCTTTGAACCCTGGTCCGATGATGGATGAATGTTCATATTTTGCATGGTTTCTCTGTTAAAGTGACTTGTAAATTTGTGCTGCAACAGAAAAAATAAAGGAAAGTGACAGAATTTAACAAAACGGAAAAACGACGATTTCTTTATCATTGTTACTCAGAAAAAGGTTTGAAGGGTCCAGTGGGAATCTGTTTTAATGGAGAGTCTAAAATGTCATCTTCAGTCCCTTTAAGTCTTACATTTGTTTTGTGAATTCTATCAGTTTTTTTGTTTCAGAAAAAAAGTCAAAATTCGAAAAATCCTTCTTCAATACAATTCAAACTTGAATTATACATGTGTAAAACGTTAAATTTATCATGTTTAGAGCAGACTGTAAACGTTAAATCTATACCGTTTAGAACAGACTGTAAACGTTAAATTTATACCGTTTAGAACAGACTGTAAACGTTAAATTTATACCGTTTAGAACANAATGGATATTCTAAAAAGGTTTAAATAAAAACTGGATATTCTGAAAAGGTTTGAATAATGGATATTCTATAAAGGTTAAAATAATAACTGGATATTCTATATAAAGGTTTGAATAATGGATATTCTATAAAGGTTTGAATAATGGATATTCTAAAAAGGTTTAAATAATAACTAGAAATTCTAAAAAGGTTAAAAAAATAACTGGATATTCTAAAAAAGGTTAAATAATAACTTGATATTCTAAAAAGGTTTAAAAAATAACTGGATATTCTAAAAAAGGTTAAATAATAACTAGATATTCTAAAAAAGGTTAAATAATAACTGGATATTCTAAAAAGGTTTAAATAATAACTGGATATTCTATAAAGGTTTGAATAATGGATATTCTAAAAAGGTTTAAATAATAACTAGATATTCTAAAAAGGTTAAAATAATAACTGGATATTCTATAAAGGTTTGAATAATGGATATTCTAAAAAAGGTTAAATAATAACTTGATATTCTATAAAGGTTTAAATAATAACTGGATATTCTAAAAAGGTTTAAATAATAACTGGATATTCTAAAAAGGTTAAATAATAACTAGATATTCTAAAAAAGGTTAAATAATAACTAGATATTCTATAAAGGTTTGAATAATGGATATTCTAAAAAGGTTTGAATAATGGATATTCTAAAAAGGTTTAAATAATAACTGGATATTCTATAAAGGTTTGAATAATGGATATTCTAAAAAGGTTTGAAAAATCATTTTTTATCCCGATATATCCCAAAGGAACAACTTGCAAAAATAACCAATTATTCTGAATCTGTTTAAAGTGCAACTTTGTGATATCTTTGAAAATATATCATGTTTTAGTCTGTATTTTGCACTTACACATTTACAAGAAATTCAGCAATGGCTTTTTGTTGGTTTTTAATATATTAAAAAACTAAAAAACTGCAGACTGAAAATTGCAAGCGAATCCTGTATGCATTAAACTATGTATATAAACATCTAACTAGGCTAGATCCAGGCCTATATTTCCGAAGACACCAGAGTCAAGTAAATATGCCGGCCCTCCAACCCAAATATGCCGGTCAGTCTATACATGCGGAGGAAAATATAGTTTCTGAACTCTGGTCCCAAGTCTGTTTATTTAATCCGTCGTCTGTGTACATTTTAAAACATCAGAAATGTTTGTTTAAATCCCCCGTATTCAAATATGTATTCAATACATGGGAACCCAGTAATAATGAACCTTCTCCTCAACGATTTTACAGATTCTATTCAAATCTCTAAATCTTTGCAACCTGCAATGGTGTTAACCTTTGATAATTCATACTTAGATTATCCTAACTGGATTTAAGGTTGCAATGATATGGGGATTATAAACTCGGAGATGAAGACACAAGCATAAATATAACGCGATCCAACGGTCAGCTTGTGTTCCTGCCTTGAACAAAGTCAAGAAATGGTAAACTAAATCATTTAAAAACAGAAAAGAAAGTTAAAATTATCTAATTATCGAATAGATTCGATAAAATCGTCTCTGAAGTCTTATTTTCGTGGGTCTTTCAAGAAAACATATTTTTAAGCAAAAAAGACAAATAACAAAACTAATAGAAAGGAACTGATTGCGCCTTAAACTCTAATTTTCTAATTTTTATATCATAGCAACCTGAAGGTTCAAGCTTTGGGAAATTAATTTAGCTGAGCAGAATTCATGTTTAAAAATACACCATCAGGTTGCAAACATAAAGTATTTGGAAGATCATAATTTTATACACCAACAAAACCACGATCAGCCTCTTGGATGATTAAAACGGAATCCATGTAATTGAAATATTAAAATCATATTTAACAACGTCCAAGTTTTTCTTCTAAAATATCAAATAAACTTACATTTGTATTTTTGTTGAAATTATAACAGTCTAACATTCCTAAATTTTCCATGGATGCATTTCTTCTCTTTTCACCGTTTCTTTAAATGTTATTCCACCCAATAAATTCTATTGTTTTACAAACCGCATGAATGCACAGTGCACACTGCACAGGATTAAATGTTAGAAAGTCAATACTGAGCTCGAGGTTTCATGTTATGAAGCATTAAAGTGTCATGGAGTATAAAAAGGACATGGAGCAGTAAAGTGCACAGTGATCCAACAGTTCTGATAATTGTGCATCAGCTGGTGAGACCGGTCTGACTTTAAAGGGATAGCAGACCTCTTTACCTGGTTCATATGTACTAACCCATGTCTACGAAAGGAGACGGAGTTAGTTTGAAACCATTTTGCTCCTCCTACCCTGTTAAACTAGGATAGGACGGAGTTAGTTTGAAACCATGTTGCTCCTCCTCCCCTGTAATACTAGGATAGGCCGGAGTAAGTTTGAAACCATGTATACTCCTCCTCCCCTGTAATACTAGGATAGGACGGAGTAAGTTTGAAACCATGTTGCTCCTCCTCCCCTGTAATACTAGGATAGGACGGAGTAAGTTTGAAACCATGTTGCTCCTCATACTCTGTTAAACTAGGATAGAACGGAGTAAGTTTGAAACTTATTACTCTCTTACCCTGTAATACTAGGATAATACTAGGTTAGGACATAGTAATTATTAAACCATGTTGCTCCTCCTCCCCTGTAACACTAGGAAGGATAGGACGGAGTTAGTTTGAAACCATGTTTCCCCTACTCTCATGTAATACTAGGATAGGACGGAGTAAGGTTTGTTTTTAACCTTTGTGACAGAAACAATCTCAAGAACTGACGAGGGTCAACCCAGACCGTTTTTACTCTACAGAGGTTTTGTCCATCACCGAATTTTAAATTTGAAACCATGTTTCCCCTACTCCCTTGTAATACTAAGAAAGGACGGGGTAAGTTTGAAACCATGTTTCTCCTACTCCCATGAAATACTAGGATAGGACGGAGTAAGTTTGAAACAATGTATTTGCTCCTCCTACCCTGTAAAACTAGGATAGGACGGAGTGAGTTTGAAACCCTGTTTCTCCTCCTCCCCTGTAATACTAGGATAGGACGGAGTTGGTTTAAGCCTTCCCTGTAAAACTAGAATAGGACGAAGTAGGTTTGAAACTATGCTGCTCCTCCTCCCCTGTAAAACTAGGATAGGACGGAGTACTCAGGTCCTACCCTGTAAAACTAGGATAATATGTTATGTGGCTCCTCCTCCCCTGTAATGCTAGAATAGGCCGGAGTAAGTTGGAAACCATGTTGCTCCTCCTTCCCTGTAATACTTGGATGGGCCGAAGTAAGTTTGAAACAATATTGCTTCTCCTCCCCTGTAATACTAGGATAGGCCGGAGTAAGTTTGAAACCATGTTGCTCCTNGGGATATAGCTCAGTGGCGATAGTTTAGTTCCTTTTTTATTAAATCTCTGTTAAAGTTTAATTTAAACGTGCCTTACGATACCTTTCTGCTTATCATCCTCTTATTCTTCTGATAACTTTCTTTTTTTCGATCCCCCCTTGTTATCCCCTTTCTTCCATCCGATCAATTTTATTCTGATCCCCATTCTTTCTCCATTTCTTATTTCTGATCCCTTTTCTTTCTTCTTAACCCTTTTCCTGATTCCTATTTTTTCTTCTTATTCCTATTTTTTCTTCTTAATTCCTATTTTTTCTTCTAAATTCCTATTTTTTCTTATGATCACTAATTTTCTTCTGATATCTTATTTTTTTATCTTCACTTCTAATCTCCAAGTACCTATTTAATTTACTATTAACATAAATATAAGTACCAATACCATTTCTTAAATCTATTATTGAATTATTTTAATGTCTTATTTTCGAAAATGCCAAGCAGTATAGAAAGTACGTATTTTTTTCTAATTGTTCATAAAAAGAAGTGACGAAAGCCTGATTTTTGAAGCCAGGAACAAAAATATTTCAAACCTACAAAGGATTAGTTTCTAGCTTCAGTTTCAGTTTTTAAAAGGTAATTGTTAAAATCCTGATTGATATTCACGGCAGGAATGAAGAATGAAAATATGGAATTGAAATAAGAGAAATAAGAATAATCAGAGATATGTTGAAGGCTAAAAGAGAAATAAGAATAATAAGAGATATGTTGAAGGCTAAAAGAAAAATAAGAATAATAAGAGATATGTTGAAGGCTATAAGAAAAATAAGAAGAATAAGAGCTGTTGAAGGCTAAAAGAGAAATAAGTAGAATAAGAGATATGTTGAAGGCTAAAAGAGAAATAAGAAGAATAAGAGATATGTTGAAGGGTATAAGCAGGGGCGGATACAGGATTTAAGTGAGGGGGGGGGGCAAGATTTTTTAGGAACAAAAAAATTAATAATTAGGAACAAAAAATTTTGCCGNATATGTTGAAGGCTAAGGGAGGCGGAAGAAGAAAAGGATAAGTTGGGTAGGATCAAATGATATTACCCACAAATCTAATTGATATTTTATGATATTTTAAACTGTGAATTCTTAGATTAATTAGTTTTAGTATGAAATATTAACAGCTTGCAAGGATATAGAGATTAGATAATTAAAGTTTGTGGTGATTGATTGATTGATTAGATTCCTTTTGTTTAATTATATTCTTGATGAAAAGAACTGGACAGCGTAATTTGAAATGACCCTCCATACAAAGATTGCAATTGCCTGATTCACAACGGTAACCTTAAAAGCTTTGTCAGATCGCGTGTGAATGAAATACATATTAGAATTATCAGAAATGTACTCTTTTAAAGCTAAACAAACGACAATATCTTCCACATTTTTTACCAGAAAAAGGTTTTCATGGTACCGTTGTGAATCGGAAATTGTCATCTTTACATTGAGGTTCACTTCAAATTAAGCTTACAGTCCCTTTAGTGTTGATATGTTTCCGTATGTACATGTTGTTTGTAAATACATAGCTCAGCTCAAAACGGAGATGGAATAAAAGGAAATATTCAGACATAGCTATACTTTGCTTGTTTGTCTACCAGTCTGTCCGTTTGTGTCCAATAAACATCAAAACGTTTCAACTAATCGTGCCCAAATTGTGTGTGGGACCTTTTATGACCTCAGGAAAGGTTTATTGATACTCAGAATTACAAAAAGTTGTCTTCAAAAATTTTAAAAATTTTGTAAAATTTTGAAAATACACGAAAAAAATGTAAATCCGCAATAAAATTACTATTGTTTTATCGAAGAGAAAATGCTGAAAGATTGAGTAACAGTTAAAAGTTGAACTAGAAGATGAGCCTAGTCTTTAAATTC